CAGAACGAGCTGAAAGACACGCAGCACGTGCGTGCCCAGACTCGTCCAACCTGATCGGCCAAAAGCGGGAGGCACCGATTTTGTCCATTGGGCCGTAAGGATGACGGCGACGACACGGCGGCAGATGATGGATGACAGGAGGGCAGCGATGGGAGTAGGAGGACAACGAGTAGGAAGACAAGCGCGCGGACGAGGAAGATACAGAGGAGGACGAGTACAGTGAGGAACGAAGCGGAGGAGGAGGAGGAGGAGGAGGAGGAGGACGAGGAGGAGGAGGAGGAGGAGGAGGAGGAAACCCAGGCTCATCCAAACCGAGCAGAAGATGTAAGCAAAGAGCGTTTGGATCGGGCACGGAAGACGAGACAGCACGCACAAAACATACAATATCAGTCAGCCACTAGTGTGGCTCGCAATAGGTTGAGCAACAGCGGTGAACAAGCATGCACGAACAGAAATGTATTACGGGGTACATGAGCAGACTGCGCTGAACACACCTGCCTGGGCTAATTCGAGACCACAATATTTTGGAGCACGTGGAAATGCGCGAAGCCGTCGGGAACAACTGCTTCTTCAAGACCTCAACCAGCATATCTAAAGTCACACCTGAAACCCTGGACAGACAAATGGTGTCCTAGCACATGTGTGTGGCGAGCATGTCCATCAGGCACATAAAAAATATCGGTGGAATGAACCGTCACGTCGTGATATGCGTGAGCTGTGCGACCGGCGTTCAGAGAATTGAGGATGCCTCAAGCGAAACCAACCATTAAGATAAGCTCGGCGGCACAAATAATCGCCTCTGAGCTCTACTCACTCGGAGAGGTGCGCATCGAAGTTTTCCTTGAACTCGTGCAATATGCACGAATCGGATAGCTGCGTTTCGGAAGCGTTGGCTACGCGCACGGAGTCCAGAACTTGAGAAGTTCGTGATCCCACCGCGTCTTCTGTCCGCCGTGCTGTCGTTGTGGTGTTTGGTCGTGCAGCTGGGGTATCCGGGCGGAGGCGAGCCGTGCCAATCGATCTGGAAGAGGAATCGCAATTCTGATGGCACGCCGCCCCCCCTTGTTTGAAGCAGAATGAATAAGGGGAGGAGAAAGTAAGGAGAGGTACGGAGAGGGATAGAGGAGGATGGTAAAAAGAGAGGGAAGGAGAGGTGAGGCTGATGGAGACAACCAGATCCCATCATATAAAAAATGAGAAGGGTGGTGTGCAATAGCAGAGGGAATAGCAAATAGTACAGCATAAAGCGACGTGTCGTAAGGGGACTGAAGCAGACATGCTGCATGATAACGGTGAGAACAATTTCAAATAGGGAAGCATTCGACTACGTGCAAATATTCACGAGTATGTACAAATATGCTTACGTATACACATATGAATATAACAAGCTACGGCATAAACGCGAATGGCACAGTAAGGACGCGCAAGAGAATGGGAAGAAAATGTAAATATCATGGCATGCATGGGAACACGCGCACAAAGCAAGAACAGATCAGGGACCGTCACATATTCTGAATATGCCACCTTGCGTGCCCCCAACTCCTTTAGAGCCCTCTGCACTGAAAGCTGCAATACGTTCTCGGGGGCCCAGGACCCCATACTGCCAGAGTGCCCTGAGCTAGTCACAGGATTCCTGGGGTGCGTCGCGTCACTTCCTGAAGCCAGAAAGTTGCGAGACAGGCCACGAGGGTCAGAAGAAGGCCCCAAGACGATCCAAGAGGGCCCCGAGACGGCCTAGGAGCGCTTGGGGGGGCATGTTGGAAGCCAGGGGCATGGCCTGAGAGGCCAAGATCATTGAAAAGCCTATATTTCCCAACTGACGCTCGCATTCCCAGCGTCTCGGTTTTCAAAGCGCCCAGCACGTCCCAGGAAGCCCCCGAGGCCGCCCAAACGAGGCGCGGGAGCCCTCCCCAGGAGGGGCCCCGGGAGGCCCCAAAGGACAGCCCCAACCAGGGGGAGAAACGAGGGGGCCGCTCGAGCCCTTCCACCCCAAGACGGCCCCGAGATCCCTCCAGAGGTTCCCGAAGAGGGGCGCTTCCAGAAGGCAGGGGCGGCGGCGACCCGCTGCGGGCGTCCTCGATGAAAGCACAACGCGAGGTTACAGAGGATGAGACGAAGTGCTGCGATGCAGACGGCGCGCGCGATCACTGAAACGAGCACGTGGGAGGAGTGCAGGGTACACAGACAAAACGACGTGGGTGGACGTCCTGCAAGGATGCTAGAAGCCACGGAAGTTGGACAATACCTCAACCTCAACATGTCGTTACCTCCCTCTTCCCCCAACCAGGGCTGAAAAAACTGGTTGGGGCTGGAGCGAAATGGAATACGGGCGATATCCTCGCCAGGATCGGAAAGCTGGAGGGAAGCGGCCAGCAGAGAAAAATTAAAGGACCAGCGATGGGTAGACAGAACGCCTCGTCGGCAGCTGGGAAGTGGAGACGTAGAAGGGCTGGCGACGCGGAAGAGCTGGAACAAGGCCGAAGTCGACGAGACGACCTGCTCAGGGCTCGAATTGTGGAATGGCCAGCCCCGTTTCCTTTTTCCACCTTGGTTGTGTCGAAAAGACAACGAACACAGCCCGCTTGAAACTGGCGCGAGCTCCAACGCGCGCCGCGGCGGCTGGAAGAGGGCAATGCTCCCAGGCGCTCCTGGGAACCCGCGCCCCCAAGGGGAGATGGGAGGAGAAGGAGGAAGTGAGGACGATGACGACGAATCGTATCGAAGCTAATCAACGTAAGCCGCTTGCGAGAGGATGGGGAGGAGAAGGGCCGCTCGCGAGGGGATGGGGAGGAGGAGGAAGAGGAGGAAGATCAAAACGAGGAGGAGGAGGAGGAGGAGCGAAGCGACTGCGAGTCTTCAGCACCCACACTCGACACAATTCAGTTTCGGGTGGCCAGCCAGCCCTCGTTTCCTCAAATCTTGCCCAGGCTTCCGAACCTCTCGCAGAGATACCTCCGGCCAGCGACCGCACGAGGCGGCCAGTGGCACCGACGCCGGGGACCGTTTCTGGGCAGTGAGGCCCCAACAATACCTGCCTCGGGCATGAATGCCTTCTCGGCGGCTCATCTACTGCTGTCTGCCATGACCCAGCTCTGACAAACTGGCTGCGCGGCAGAAGACGCACACTCTTCCGGCGACACCGCTTTTCCCCGGGGGCCTCGCCCCCTTTTCATCCCCTCTCGGTTACTAGAGAATATGTCCTCTTACCCTCGCCCCTCTGGTAGAGATGCACACTGGCGAGCGGAATCCCACTTGCTCGCATAGGCTGGGAGGCTAGTGCTAGTGAGGCGGTTGGGGGAGCAAATGCATTGACACTTCGGACGGCGACCGCCCCGCAGACCTTGGAGGCCTCTGGAGCCCTTCTCGGAACTATCTTGGCATCGAACGGGGAGAAATCAAACACGAATGCGTCTCTGCAGCGCTCCTTGAATTATACCACAGCCTCTTGATGCCCATCTTGGGCCTGGCGGGCAGTCGCACAGGCCCCTCTCTGGCGTCTGCACGCTCAAGACGGCCCAAGGAGACCCCCAGACTGGCCAAAGCCGGCCCAAAACACCCTCAAAACGGCCCGAAGACGGCTGAGGAGGGCCCCAAAACGGCCCAAGTGGCCCCCAAGAGGGTAAATCAAACCTGGATGCGGCCCCAAGAGAAGCCCAAGAGAGGCCCCAGAGGGGGGAACCCGCACTGACTCCAAGAGGCTCCCAAACAGCCCCCAAAGGGTTTCCCAAACTCCCGGGAGCCTTGACACAGCTCCGAAAGGCCGCCACCGAGGCCGCCAGCAGGCCCCGAAGATGCCCCCATAAGCTCCAGGAAGCCTCAAACATGCCCAAATGAAACCCCCCAGAAGCTCCATCGCTTAACCGACCCCTATCCCCATGAACGTGGCCAGGGCCCCAATGGCCGGTTGACCCCCTAGATGAGGATATAGGCCGTTCCCTTCGGGCTTCGAAGTGTGTGTCCCCACCTGGGATGCAAGGGTGCTGGGGGTCTGGATGCGGATGGGGATGGGGATCGAGGGTCCCTCTTCCTCCGCCTCCTCCTCCTCATCATCCTCCTCCTCTTCCTCCTCTTCTTCCTCCTCCTCCTCCTCCTGGCACGTACCTGAGGCGCAGCAGGTTCATGAGCATGATGGCTGTCGCCATACCTGGGCCCGCACCTGTGGCAGGAACGACGGGATGGCACTCTGGGAGACGCATTGGGCACCCCTGGGAAGTCGACTGCCAATATCATAGCGATGAAAGGCCGCGACAGTGGGCAGAAGAGAATCAGGAGAGGGGTCTCCTCCTCCTCCTCCTCCTCCTCCTCCTCCTCCTCCTTCTCCTACTCCTCCTCCTCCTCCTCCTCCGCCCCCTCCTCCTCCTCCTCCTCCTCCTCCTCCTCCTCCTCCTCCTCCCCTTCCATGCATCTCCCTATTCCGCCTCCTCCTCCTCCTCCTCCTTCTCCTCCTCCTCCTCCTCGTCCTCCTCCTCCTCCTCCTCCTCCTCCTCCTCCTCCTCCTCCTCCTCCTCCTCCTCCTCCTCCTCCTCCTCCTCATCCTCCTCCTCCTCCTCCTCCTCCTCCTCCTCCTCCTCCTCCTCCTCCTCCTCCTCCTCCTCATCATCATTCATCATCATCATCATCATCATCATCATCATCATCATCATCATCCTTCTCCTCTTCCTCCTCCCCCCCCCTCCTCCTCCTGCTCCTCTCCTCATGATTCTCCTTCACCTCCTCCTCCTCCTCCTCCTCCTCCTCCTCCTCCTCCTCCTCCTCCTCCTACTCCTCCTCCTCCTCCTCCTCCTCCTCCTCCTCCTCAAGCTGCACGAGGGGGGCCTCAGACTGAGCCGCAGGGCGGTTGCGGGCCGGCCCACCGGACGAAGCCTCGGCACACCGGCCCGCACGTGCTCTGAGTCCTAAGGCACTATAGCCCTGTAGCCCTATAGCCCTACAGCCATCTAGCCCTACAGCCTTATAGCCCTATAGCACAATAGCCCAATAACCCTACAGCCCTCTAGCCCTCTAGCCCTCTAGCCCTCTAGCCTTGTAGCCCTCCCGCCCTCTAGCCCTCTAGCCCTCTAGCCCTGTAGCCCAATAGCCCAATAGCCCTATAGCCCTATAGCCTTGTAGCCCAATAACCCTATAGCCATCTAGCAATATAGCCCTTTAGCTCTATAGCCATATAGCCCTAGCCCTATAGCCCAACAGCCCGCCCAACAGCCCAATAGCCCAATAGCCCTATAGCCCAATAGCCCTATAGCCCTCTAGCCCTCTAGCCCCATAGCCCTATAGCCCCACAGCCCCAAAAAAGATTATGATTGGAGCTTATCTCGGGTGTCAAATGGTTAGGTTAGCTGCGCCGCCGATTTTGGCGGCCCGCCAGGGTGCCTGCGTGCCCAGGTGCCCGCGAGCTGCGTCGCCGACTTCGGCGGCCCGCCCAGGTGCCCGGGTGCCGGGGTGCCCCACAGCCCTACAGCCCTATAGGCCTATAGCCATATAGCCCTAGAGCCCTACAGCGCTATAGCCCTTTAGCCCTAACGCCCTATAGCACAGTAGCCCAATAACCCTACAGCCCTATAGCCAAAAAGTCCTGTAGCCCTATAGCCATGTAGCCCTCTAGCCCTCTAGCCCTACAGCCCTACAGCCCTATAGCCCTATAGCCCTATAGCCCTATAGCCCAATAGCCCTACAGCCCTTCAGCCCTAAAGCCCTAGAGCCCTATAGCCCTATAGCCCTCTGGCCCTCTAGCCCTCTAGCCCTCTAGCGCACTAGCCCTCTAGCCCTCTAGCCCTCTAGCCCTCTAGCCCTCTAGCCCTATAGCCCTATGGCCCTAGCACTATAGCCCAACAGCCCAATAGCCCTATAGCCATTTAGCCCTCTAGCCCTCTAACCCCATAGCCCCATAGCCCTATGGCCCTATAGCCCCACAGCCCCAATTATCCCGGCGAAAGACCCAACCATATGCACTTGTGAGTAACGCATTGTGCGTGCCGCTTTCAGTGGAGTTTCCTATAGGGCCACGAAACGCGTGATGGACGTGGCGTAATGGATGGGAGGGACGCATGCGGGCGGCGCCACTGGGGCCTTCAGTGGGGCTGCCTATGGGCCACGGGACGCTGTACTGGGCGTGGCGAACGCATGCGGGCGGTGACCTTCGCTGGAGCTCTCGATGGGACCACGAAACGCAGTGCTGGTTGGGGGAGACGCACGCGGGCGGTGCCACTAGGGTCTTTCTGTGGAGCTCCCTACGGGGCCACGAAACGCTGTACTGGGTGGTGGTTGACGCACGCGGGCGGTGCCGGTGGGGGCTTTGGTGGGGCCCCCTTATGGGGCCACAAAACGATGTACTGGGAAGGGGGGATGCATGCGGGGGCGGTGCCACTGGAGCCTTCGGTAAAGCTCCCAATGGGCCCACGAAACGCTGAACTGGGTGGGGTGCCGCATGCGGGCGGACTACTGGAGCTCCCTACGGGGCCACGAAACGATGTACCGAGTGGGGGAGACGCACTGCGGGAGGTGCCACTGCGGCTCGGTGGAGCTCCCAATCAATGAGACCGCCAAATGGAATACTGGGTGGTGGACGACGCATGCGGGCGGTGCCACGGAGGTTTTCCTGTGGAGCTCCCTATGGGGCCACAGCGCTGTATTGGATGGTGGCTAACGCATTCCGGCGGTCCCACTGGGACCATCGGTGGAGCCCCTTGTGGAGCCACGAAACGCTGCACTTGGTGGTGACTGACGCACGCGGGCGGCCCCACTGGGACCTTCGGTGGAACTCCCTATGGGACCACGAAGCGCTGTACTGGGTGGTGGCTGACGCATGCGTGCGGTGCCATTGGGGCTTTCGGTGGGGTCCCCGAAGGGGCCACGAATCGCTGCGCTGGGTGGTGGCTGACGCATGCGGGCGGTCCACTGGGGCCTTGAAGCTCCCGATGGGGCCACGAAGCGCTGTCTGTGGGTGAACCGCAGGGAGGAAAGGCTGTACTGGGTGGTGGTTGACGCATGCAGGCGTTCCCACTGGAACCTTCGGTGGAGCTCCCTAAGGGGCCACGAATCGCTGTACTGGGTGGGTGAAACGCAGGAAGGAAAGGCTGTGCTGGCTGGTGGATGACGCATGCAGGCGGTTCCACTGGGACCTTCGGTGCAGCTCCCTGTGGGGCCACGAATTGCTGTACTGGGTTAGCGAAACGCAGGGAGGAAAGGCTGTGCTGGATGGTGGCTGACGCACGCGGGCGGTCCCATTGGGACCTTCGGTGGAGCTCCCTACATGGGCGTGATTAAAGTTTGGCCCTTTTTTAGCATAGCCGAAGTAATGGCTACGATGCATCCACACGTCGTTTTCCAACCGTTTGGAAATCGATGCTATTGTTTCGAACCGACGTGGAACCGTCAGAACAACCATTTTTGTGAGGGTGTCCCACGCGGTTTGCCGTTTTCGAACCGCCATCGCCTTCTTTCGAACCGAGTTGGAACCGTGAGAACAAGAATTTGTGTGAGGATGTCCCACGCGGTTTGCCGTTTTCGAACCGCCATCCCCTCCTTTCGAACCGAGTTCGAACCATCAGGACAGCAGATTTTGTGAGGATGTCCCACGCGGTTTGCCGTTTTCGAACCGCCATCCTTTTGTTTCGAACTGGGTCCGACGCCGTATTTTGAGGGAAGCCCCACGCGAAACGCTCATTCTGCTTTTGTTTCGAACCGCATTCTATTGTTTCGAACCGAGTTCGAACCGTCTTGAGAGCCAA